TTTTGTATTTTTGTTGAAAAAAAAAAAAAAAAAAAAAAAAAAAAAAAAAAATTGGTGCTATCGAGACTAATACTATTTTTCATGTTTCATATATTCACTGGTAAAACGAGTCATAATAGACGGTAGAATAAAGTATTTCTTTAAATATATAACGAATCGAAGTTTCCAGGAAAAAGAAATCAAAGTGTTCGTTTTCGATATATCGAGTTAAAATTACAGGTTCGTAGCGAGACCAGTATTAGAGATTTTGCAACGAATATACACGGTGATCGTAACAATTGAGCCACAATCGTGGAGAAAAATTTTGCGTACAAGCTCTAGCATCCTACGAAACGATTTTCTTTTTCACAAATGCACCTACGCAAAATTTTCCTCTACGGTTTCTTTCGATCTTGGCTCAATTACTAAAACGAACCCTGTATAGACGTAGAATAACAGTATAGAGACGTTATTTAGATACGTTCGATCGTATACAACGGATGGAATGAAAAGGTTTTTAACACTTCTCTCTCTCTCCCCTTTCGAACAGTGTTAGAAATACCTTGAAACGGCACATTTTCGAAATTCCAAACGGCAGCTACGTCACGCAAATAGTTTCGCATAGCAGCGCGTTCGTTTCGCAGCAAGACGTTGAACATCTGATTTTGTACATATCAGCGTTCGTTACGAATATACACACTGATACGACGTAGTAAAACGACTGAGGAGGAGATGATAATAACAGGCATTTATATTTTCTAAGATATGAATTAACGAGTTGGCTGGTAGTAATATCGGCCGCGCTATACCCGATATGAAGATTTTGCAAAAGCGGTTGCAACTTTCGATACTAATACGCGCGCGCGGTCAGGCGGTCGAAAACCACAGAACCTTTACGTATTATTTATTTCAACGAACATTGTATTATTTTATACACGAAAAAGCAATGCCTAGTGTTTTCCCATAAAGTTACAACGACACGTGTGAATACTGGATACACGAGAGGAGAATTTTTAAGGACGTAGGTACATAGTTTGTTCTCGTTCTTTCGGAAAGTTTCGTCGAGATCGAACGGTGGATGGAATAGGAGGCGAGTGAGCGTGCGAGCGTGAGGAGAGAAAAAAAAAAAAATCAACGATCGATTTTTTTACATTCTGTATCCAGTTAAGAGAGGTGTGGCATTTATTAGCATTGTACGTGTCACGATATGTAGACACAATCGTATTATGAAATATTCACATATAAATATATTTCATACTATGCGTAAAATGTCGTTTTCTGATTATTTCGCGGATGTATAGATGGAAAGGAAGGCTTTTATTTGGAAAGTAGGCTGTCCTTTGCTGTCCTCTCTGTATTCTCGCAGCGGCACGTGCGAACGGAAACGCGCGGAGTGGCGAGAGAGATAGAGCGAGAGAACTCTCCTCTCTCCGTCCTCCGTTATTCTTTTCCGTTTCCTTTTGCTCTGCCAGCTCCTCCTCCATTCTCCTCCTCCTTCCGTTCCCTCATCCCGCCGTCCTTTTCTCCCCGGATCTCTCGGTCTCTGTCCTTTGCCGCGCTCGATTGCATTGCGCCGTATAACGTGGCAGCGCGTTGCGCCTTGTGGTTACTTCAATTAGGTGGATTCGTGGTTACGTATCGGCGTATTGGAGCAAGTTAACCACGCCGGCACAGAAGGTACGCCAGCCACGGACTCATCACGGACGTGCCTCTGGACTCCCTTGACATTATCGCTAATCATCTGGAATCGATTCTCGCATCGACGAGAAAGCGGGCTCAGGTATGCCGCATGGCATACTCGCGCTTTCCTCTGAGCGGCGGTAGTAGCGGTAGTAGCGACACGGGATTGAATTTGTAGCGGAAAACGTAGCGAATTGGGAAATACGTCGGGTCTTGTGAAAAAAGACGAACACGTAGAAGTACAAGTCGGTGGTACGTACATGTATACGTATCTATTATAAAACAAGCTGACCACCTGGTGGCAAGCATGCGGGGGGCCTCGAGCCGCACGTTGACACAACTCATTTTTACGCGATGTTCCACGCATGATGGGCGGCCCTGCTCGTCCGCAACTAGCATACCGCTTCTCCGTTGTGTTTATGCCGATGCTCTTCTCATCCGTTTATGTACTACCTTTCGAGCGAGGAAAAGTAGGGAATAAGCGTACTTTCTGTTAATTTCGTTCGGTAGAAGTAAAAGTCTAGACGGGGGACGAAGGAAAAAGGGGCATCGAAAAGGATGTTAAAAGGTCTCCGAGGGTCGCTTAAATATGTATGTATGTACGACGCAACGATCGCGTCTTACACGCGAGCATGCACCGTTGAAAATCGTCTGGACGTAGTAGACTGGAGTGTGCAGCAGCTTCTGGTATATCCAGCCAAGCATGGGTTCGGCGATAACACGGTGGATAAGTGGCACGTGTCGCTTGCTCTTCTTTCCACCCGACGGACAATGTTGCTCTTAAGAGAAGCAACGTTCAATATCTAAGCTTTAAACTAAACCAGACACTCGACCGATACTTGGATCGAGACAGCTTTTAGCTTGCCGCTAGAAATTAAGCAGAGCACGAATATTTTTATATATATACGTTCGCAACAATCGTGTGTATCTACAGGAGGAAAATCTTCTCCCCCGTCTCGATTTGGTCGATCGCGATAACGCGTAGATATGTATTCCTTTTTCGTTTTTTTTTTTTCTTTTTTACGACGGCCGTTCTACGAAACCTTTAAAATTCGTCTCCTGATTCTCGTTTCTCGGAGGGTCACCACCACGGAGGAGGGTATCTCTCGCGGGAACGTTTTCCACGTATTTATACCACCTAATCGGAATCTTTGGATTTTCGATCGGTCAACGGGATTTACGACAATCGTACCCGCTTTCCCGCTGCGATTGCTCCACATTTCTATAGCAAATGGAGAAAGAGCGGAAAACGTTGTCGTGGAGGTTGCGCGGTACGAAGGCGGGGCAATCAGGAAGATTCGATCTTTCGGGTTTTCGGCAAACGAGAGACAGAGATGGAGAGAGGTAAGCAGAAGTCGAGAGACAACGTGGGTGGCAACAATAGCTCTCTCGAGCGGGCAGATTCTGGTGGCACGACACGCATTGTACGAGCACAGTTTGAAGGTGATTGATCACCGTTGGTGATCGCGCGTACACGCGTGCATCGCGTCGGGGCTCTTTCTCTTTTATCTTTAACAAGGGACCCATGCTCGTTTAACATGTCCGGTTGACAACGAACTGGTCGTCGTCCCGGTCGTCGTCCCGGCCGTCGTCCCGGCCGTCGTCCCGGCCGTCGTCCCGATCGTCGCCACCGACCAGATCTGGATTTTCGATGGAAGCGTACCGCCGCGGGGGGCAAGCATACCTCGAGATGAGCGTACCGATCTCGAGCAGGTCGGCTAACAGTCGTCTCGCTTTTTCCGCGAGGATAGACGCGGGGAAAGGGTGTACGTGTGTGTGTGCGCGGTGGAAAGCCTGACTCGATCGATGCGAGCGGTTTCGACGCGTGTCACGCTGCTCGCCGTTACGCAAGCCTTACGCCGATGTCCGACTAAATTGCCCGCTATCCGCTATCGTACTCCGTGGGGTTAAAATCGGGGCTGGCCCGCGCCACGACAGAGGGGAGCTCGATAGGCGACGCGATCCTCTTTGTATCGGTCGACGGTGGCCGGTTCTTCTGCGTTTTTATCGCATAAAATCGGGCAGCGTTGCTCGCAGGGTAGGAAGCTCATTTTAATACAAATCGTTCGGTCTCCGTGTGTATACGACGGTGCCGCATGTCGCAGAGGCAACATCGCGTCCCCTGCGCCATCATTACCAACCCCTCGGCGAGCGAGCTTACCCGATCGGTAGCGTCATACGGCAAAACTCCGAGCAGACGTTTACCGTAAGTGGCGTAGTTACGCTTTACCACTCGACAACTTGCATTTTCTTAGGTCCGGGATGTGGGATTTTTGAGGAAGTAGCTGCTGCAATCGTTCCTACGTGGACCAGGAAGGAGGAAGAGAAATGGTCTGGTGATAAAGTCTCCGAACTCTGGGTACAGAGGGTGGGGTGGAAGGGGCGAGGGTAGAAGGTCGGAGAGTGGCTCATCAGGCTGATAACCCAAGAGAAGAGAAGCGAAGCGCGTGTCGCCCACTCACGGTGATTGCTGCCACCAGGTTTGTTCCTCGACTCCTCCGGTACCCCTCCCGCGCGAGCCGCCGCGCGGTGTTCATCGGCATCCCCACCGCGATCCTAGCTATCCCCGCTCCGGATGGATCCGCGCTCCCACCAGAACTTTGGCTCATCCCTACTATTCCCGAGCGCGACCGTTCGACCGTGCCTCCGTATCACCTTCTGCTCTCGAGAGAACCCGGATTGTCCACCCACGCTGCTCCTCTTCTTCCTCTTTCTTTTCCCTTCCCGTTTCACGCCCATTCCCGTCTTTTCTCAATTTCAC